TATACACAGCTGAAATTTTTGGACAAAAATACCCCTACGGAGGTTCCGCTGTCAGCACAATACTGAGCGCCTCAGCGCTTGAACTTTCGCGGCCGCGCAAAAGCAAGCGTGGACCACGTTTCTTCCATTTTGGACAAGGGCTGGGCTTGATTTCGCTGGAAGTGTAAAAGAGACCGCCTCAGCGTTGTCTTCAACCGTGGCCGCGTAAAATGTTCGCGGATCGCGTTCTTCCTTTGACCTCAGATTTCCAGGTCTCTGATTCTTTATGTTGCCCTCAGCGGAATTTGCACCGCGACCGCGTCAAGTATTCCGCTGCCGCGCTATTTCACCGCGATCATCGGTATCTATTGTACCCCAAAATGCCTCTTTGAATCTCAATTCCGTTGTTAGTGTAATTGTGGCCGCCCCAGCGGTGGACTTTCTGCGGCCGCTCTTTTCCTTTGTTGTCAGCGCTTTTATCTCAGTTTTAAACTTGTGCAGGTTACTCCTTTATGAGCTAGTTATGACTTTCTTGCTTCATTTTGACCAAACCCTGCAAACAAGCACAATAAGTTAGTTTTCGGGAATACTTCTACACATTTTGTATCCAAAAACTAAGCAAAAGAGAGCACAAGATAGGCTAGAACCCGCAGTTATCAGCAGATCGACCACTCTTTCAGGATACCTTTCCAGATGAAGGAGGTTAAGATTCTAGAATTGTTATTGCATATTTGGAGATGAGAATTCTGGACAATAGAGTAGTTGGATTACTGAGGATCATCCAAGCAAGGTTGCTTAAGAAAATTAGGTTTTTTGTTCTGGCCTTTCTTAGGCGAAGACCTACTTTCTCTTTTGATTTGGTTATATTAGTCCAACTTATATAATGAAGTTTTTTGGATTCATTGGTTGATCCCTAGACAAAATTACGTTGGATACGATCTATTTGATTGAGAGTTTTGTTAGGGAGGTATGTGTATTGCATGGCATGACTGGGGATTGAGTTTAGGGAAGAGATTGCTAAGGTTGTTCTGCCAGCAATATTAAGAAAATTGGCTTTCCAAGCAGTCAATTATTTTTGCATGTTATCAATTATGAATTGGTAGTCCTTAGGTTTTGGTTGATTCTGGAGTATGGGAGATCCTAAGTATTTCCCAAAGGAGTTGCTAATATTCATGTTAAATTTATTAGCCGCTTCTTTAGCTAAGTTGGGAGCATAGTTCTTTGAGAGGATGATCCTTGATTTTTGTAGATTAATATTTTGTCCGGATAGTCTGCATAAAAGTGAAAGATATTTTTTTGATTGAGTTGCATGACTTCTCATTCACCTTAGCCATTAGAGTGAGGTCATCAGCGAAGAAGAGGTGAGATATGTCTGGATCTCGGGGACTAAGGTGTATAGGGTCCCATTGGCAAATATCTACTTCATGAGAGATAAAATGAGAGAACATTTCCATACAAAGTATGAAAATGTAGGGTGAGAGGGGACAATCTTGTCTAATGCCTCTGCTTGGTTTAAAGAATTCAGTAGTTGATCAGTTGACTAGGATTGCTATATTGCTTGTACAAATACAATGCATGATTAATTTTGAGATTGATGGAGGGAATTTGAAGAATTTGAGCATACGATAGATAAACGACCATTCTAGTCGATCAAAAGTTTTTTCTAAATCTATTTTTAAGATCATACCAGTCTTTTCCCTTTAATCTTTTTGAATTGGTTAATGATTTCCTGAATTATAATAGCATTGTCGCTAGTTCTTCTTCCTTTGATAAAACTTGCTTGGAAAAGGCTAATAAGGTCATTGAGAAAGGGTTTTAATCTGTTGGCAATAATTTTTATGATAATATTGTACACTGTATTGCAAAGACCAATTGGTCGGAATTTTTTTAGATTATTTGCGTTATGGATTTTTGGAATAAGGCAGATAAAGGTGTTATTGATACCCTCGGGGAGTGAATTGTCGCGGAAAACTTGTAAATAAAGATTAATGACTGATGGCCCCACAAATTTCTTGTATTTCTGATAGAAAAAATGATGAATCTCATCTGGCCCTGGTGCCTTAAAGGGTTTGAAAGAAAAGATAGCATTGGTGACCTCAGAAGGCATTAAGGAGTTATCCAACATTCTGAGATCGATTTTGTTGAAATTTGTAGGATCATAGTGTATGCCTATCCAACTAGTGGATGTATGGGATGTTTTGAAGGTGTTGAGAAAATATTGCTTGGTATGTGTTAAAATTTCTGATGGATCTTTGATTTAGTCGCCCGCATCATTTTTAAAAAACATAATTTTTTTTTCTTTTTTGTTGTTAGAGGCCATGATGCGGAAGAACTAAGTATTAGCATCTCCCTCTTGAATCCAAGAGATTCTGGCTCTAAGTTTTCAATAATCATCTTCAATTTTATGGTAGTTGTTGTACTCTATTTGTAGAGAGTTTTCCAATTGTTGGAGGAAAATACTATTATAGTAGTGCTTGGATTCTTGTATACCTTTTAGCCTAGCCAAGATTCTTTGTTCCCCGAAGATATCTCCAAAGACCTTATTTTTCCATGTTTTAACATTACTTAGAAAAAGATTAGCCGAGTTCAGATAGTTAGTGTCTTTTCAACTTTCCTTTACTAGGTTATTGAAGTCTGGGTGTCTGCACCAATAGGTTTCGAGCCTAAAAGATTTTGGAAGGGCAATATTTGATCTAGGGATTATTTGTAGGAGTAAAGGATTTGGTCAGAGTGTGTTTTTGGAAGGTGAGTTACTGAGGTATTTGGAAAGCAGCTAATCCAGTCACTATTGGCAAGGATTTTATCTAATCTTTTCATAATAAGACCTTTGTTCTTCTTTCTACGATTTGTCCATGTGAATTTGCATCCCTTAAATCCTAGATCAATAAAACCACATTTATTGATACAATTCCACAGATATTTGGTACAATTTCTATTTACTTGGTTACCTCCTAATTTTTCTGTTGAATCTAGGACATCATTAAAGTCTCCCACTACTAGCCATGGCCCATTAAAATTAGCTTGCGTGTTGATAAGATTGTTCCACATTTGATTTCTGTCGTTAATGTCAGTACTAGCATATATAGAGGTAAACAACCAAGTTTTCTGAGTGGGAATTACCTCAGTTGTTGCACTAATTTTTTGGCTTCTACGCACAAAGCTATGAACATTGACAAGGTTATGATCCTAAAGGATAACGCTACCACCCGATTGTCCCTCAGCTAGTATCTCAATCATATCAGAGAAGCCAAAAGGGTTTAGGAGTGACATGTGATTGTCCATTCTAGTTTCCAACAGTGTGACCATGCAAGGACGATGCATGTCAATCATTTCCCTAAGATTTAGTCTAAAATTGTCATTGTTTCCACCACGAACATTCCAAATGATGAATGAGATAGGCATATTCATGTGGTCCAGTTGTGAAGATCTCCATTCTCCAGCACTCTTGGTGCATGCACTGGATTCCTTCTCTAGAAGGGTACTAGGATGCCCTACTGTTGGGTCGGCTGGTGGTCTTATGTCCATCGTGCACTTGGAGAGTGTCGTTGGACAATTGAGCACTTGCCTCTGTTCTTGCATCTCCGCAAAGATAAATACTTTTACCTCGTCGAGATTTGAATCTTCGATCACTGATTCTGGGATTAAATTGATGGGAGGTTCCACTGCCTCCTCCATCATTTCCTCTTGGTTTGTTGGATTTGCTTGAGTATGGGACTGTGGTGGATTTTGATGTGGTATGGGAGGTGCATGATGAGCATTGGGAGCTTGAACTTGGTTTGCATGTGCATCCCATGGGGTAAAAGTTGGGTTGATGCTTGTTGCTATTTCCGGGGTGAAGAATGGTAAGTCCATCACTGGATTGGTGTTTTGGATTTGGACAAAATGGGGTGGCAGGTTCCATTCTCCCATCATCGTTTGAGTTATGTTGGGAGTCAAGTTTAGTGCTACTGGGTGTAGTATGTTGTTCACCCAAACGTGGTTCATGAAGTTGTTCATCGATAGAAGGATGCCCTCCGAGATTAGCTGGACTAGATAGTGGGAGTTTTGTAGTATTATCACTGTCTCTCTTCCGTTCAACATTATGTTGAAGAAGATGGCATGGCCCATCAATCCCAACTCCACCCAAGATAATGGTTGATGATTTTCTGGCAGTGGAGTTTGGATGAAGATCGTGAGGATATTCAGTGTTTGAGGGTTGGATGGTATTTGATTTGCCATATTTTGTAGTCGGTTGAGGCGTAGGATTTGAATGAGACTGTGACATCTCCTGCTTGATAGAGGGATTCTTGGAATTTTTAGTAGAAGTGTTTGAACTTATAGAGGGCTTAAGCAGACTGTTATTTTCTAGAAAGATCACAGTATCTTTTTCAATGATAGCGGCTTCCATTTGCATGTTATTTGAGGGGATAGCGTATGGAATTTATTAGGGAGGATAGCAGATTGGGTTGGGGATACGTGTTCCATGGCATCGGCTATTTGGAGCATGGTTGATTGAGGTTTTGGCAAGTAAGATTTGTCATTAGTGGCATGCATGAGGTTATTATTAGTATTAGTAGATTGTTTGGCATTGTAGACATGATTAGGATCAGGGTTAATAATACTGTTAAAAATATTTCTTTGTAGGTAATTAGGGGTGTCTTCCATATTTGGTGACACGTGTCCATTTGATGTGTCCCTATTATGTAATCATTGGTTTTTAAGATTTTTTCTTTTATTTTTTTCGATTAGTTGGTTTATGGTATTATCTAAAACCATGTCCTCCTCCATCAAAGCTGAAAAATAGTTTTCTGATTGAGAAAATATTTTGTGCAGAGGGTGTTCCTCAATGGTTGTATTTTTTCCAGTAGTATTTGTATCAAGAAGTGTTAATTTGGGACGGGCTTTGTAGCTTAAAGTTTGAGAGCTAAGGAATTACCTGTATTGGCATTAAAAATGTTGACATTTATACCTGCCTTTGTTGATGATTCTCGGATCTCACTCTTCATGTTTTTTTCCTTCCCCTTGCTAATCGTGACAGTCTTCTATTCCTCGTTGATCTTGTGCGTTTGTTTTAGCATGTTACGATCCTGTTCCTTCTCTTCTTTTTCTTTTGTTGCTGAGTTTGTAGATTGTTGTTTGATCATATTGCATTGGCCTGTGGAATGACCTAGGTGTCCACAATTCAAGCATAGGAGTTTGTCACACTCGTATAATACTTGTTGTTTATGGGATCCTATCCACACATTAGATTTAACCGCTTTGTTCAGTGGTAACTCCACATAAAGCCTTGCATAGCATCCTCGGAGAGCTGTGGATGTACAAGCATCAACTTTAAGTAGCCTTCCAATTTTATTACCTACTTTTTCCAAAAAATTTCCATCATAGAATTCAGTGGGGAGTTGTGAAAGACGTACACAAATTTCCGTGAGAATTTGTTTGGCTTTTGAAGGCACGAAGTTTGGCTCCCAACGTTGTACCGATAGAAAATGACCAAAGATGAACCATGGGCCATTTTGTAGTGCATTGACCATATTTTCTTCTTTATTAAATTTAACTGTGAAGTAGTCTTCACCAAGATCAATAAGAGGAAAGGTCTCCTTTGGCTTCCAAAGATCTGCCAGTTTTCGTTTGAGTATTTGGTGAAGAACTTTTTTTCCTTGTAGTTTAATTATCACTGAGAATCTCCATGGATAATAAATGCGCTGTTTGTCTTCTCGAGTTATTGGAACCATGTATTCATCCTCTTGGCCTTTAGGAACCTTTTTCCCTTCTTCCTCGATTGTGTCAACGGCCATAGGTAATAAATATGAAGGGGGTTGGGATATAGAGAGGTTTCTCTCACTGTCATTGAATAATAGTTTGTCCTTGAAGGTAAAAGATTGATTAGCTTGGAATGAGTTAATATTAGGTGGTTTTGGAGGCAGGTCCTCTAAACCAGTGTGGTTTTCCATTTGAATTTCCAATGTCGGACTAGTTTGGAGATTTATGCTAGTTGGTATTTTCCTAGAGAGAAGGTAGAGCTTCTCTTTCGAAACCTTCCATCTTTCAAGTGTGAAAAAAAAATAAAGTTTATTTATTCCATATTTCATCCCTTATTTTTGGAGAATAGATAACTTAGTAATTAGAGAAACAAAAGAGAATATAAAATACATGTTTTATTATTAGAAAAAATATTAATATCAGAATGTAAATTAACTATTAGTCACCATCAATCACATGGCAAAATAATTCTTTTCTTTTTATGAAGATCTTATACTCTTTTACTAAAAATATTTAGTATTTCTTAAATAAAATTATCATAGAATTAATATATTATAATTTTAAAATGGGGCCCTAAAAATTTGGAGGCCTAAAGCCATTACTTCATTTGCTTGGCCCTTGAGCCGGCACTGGCAATAATGTGGATTCATTGCGCAAAAAGCTCTGTTATCCATATTTTAGGCAGAGTTGGATTTTGTAATTTTTCTATAATTTAACTTCTTCTATGTTATACTCGTTTTTCGTTTGTTTCATGTAAATACCTTTCTAAATTGTCTTTTATATTCAAGATTTTATTTTATTTTTGACTTGACATTTACTGAGAGGCAAATTGTTGACATGGCGAGTTATCTATCATAAACTAATATTTCAAAATTGTTTACTTGAGTAATTATTTATTACTTCTAGTTTCTTTTACGGGTATGTTTTGAGAAGAAGAAAAAAAATGTACTGTAACACAAGTCACGTCAAATTGTTACGATGAATCTTGGACCATTTATCGAGTTGAGTATAACTGTATATCATTTTTACGTAAAAGCGATCCTAATCTTCTTTTCTTTTTTTGTGGTAATTATACATTTATATTTCCTCAAAACTCGTTTTACAACCATCACAGAAATCCTGAAATAGCAGCAGTTTGGACATTAGTCCCAAACATACTGTCGCTCTCCTCTACAAAAACCTCCTCTTTTACACTGAGCTACTGTCTATGGATAGAAGTTTAGTGATTGCATACAGTTTTCTAATCTACTAATTCTACGAGCTCTCACATGTATTTCTTTTATCAGCTGCCTTGTCACTTGATCCGCAAGTCTTCTTTGAGCCTTAAAGATTCTTGCATTTCTTTCCTGCCACAAATGATATACTCCACTAGCTAGTACCATCCTATATAGTTCCTCTTCAACAACTTTTTCTTTTGCATTCTCAATTGTCCATGTTACTTCATGTTGCCAGTTCCTCACATCCCTTTTTATGCCTTGCCATACTAACAGTTTAGACCATATTTGTTTTGCATATTCGCATTCAAACAGTAGGTGATCAATATCTTCATTCTCTTTTTCACACAGTACACATTCCATATCCTCCATATTTGCCCAGCATGCAATCCACTCCTTTGTTTGTAGTCTCCTGTGAAGTGCCAAGAATAGGATGAATATCCATTTAGGTAGCCCTGCATTGTTGCATACCAGCCTTCTCCATGGAACTTTCTGAAATTCCCCTCGACTGATTCCATATATTTTTTTTATTGAATATTTACTCATAGCTGCCACATCTGCCTCAGTCAAGCCTATCTGTTCAAACAGAGCCTTTGCTTTGATGATCTTCTGTACAATCCATGAGGCTTGAGTAGTCTTAGTGTCCCATACTGCACATCTCTTGGTATAGTATGAATGAATCCATTTCACCCACAATCAGTCTTTCTTTCTGCATATGTTCCATAAAAGTTTCCCAATAGCTGCCCAATTCCACACATATATGTCTAGGATATTCAGCTCACCTGCAGTTCTAGGAAGACATAATCTATCCCATGCACTCGGTGCATTTTTGTTGAGTTCACTTCCACCTGTCCATAGAAAGCTTCTGCAAGTTGATTCTACCAGTTGAGCAACCTTTTTGGGAAGAACAAACACTTGTGACCAATATATTTGAATAGAAAAGAGCACAGATCTCACAAGCTGGAGCCTGCCTGCATATGATAGATATCTAGTTGTCCATGATTTAATCCTGGCCAGCATCTTGTCTAGAAGAGGTTTACACGGCACAATAGTCAGCCTTTTTGTACTTAGGGGGATTCCTAAGTATCTAAAAGGCAGCTCTCCCTTACTAAATTGGATAGTATGCAAAATACTCTATTGAACTTCCTGTTGGACACCTCCAAAGTACACTGAGCTTTTCTCTACATTAGCAACCAGACCAGATACCTGTGAGAAATGTTGAAAGTGTTGAATCAATAGTGTGACAGACTTCAACTCTCCTTTACAGAATAATAGTAGATTATCTGCAAACCCAAGCAGTAGAATTTGCAGTTTCTTACACCTTGGGTGAAATTTGAAGCTTTTTTCCTCACTAAGTCCCTTTAAACTTCCATGGCAAGGACAAATAAGAAAGGGGAGAGAGGATCCCCTTGTCTTAACCCTTTTCTAGCTGGGAATGGTAACACTGGCTCTCCATTGAGAAGAATTGAGTATGAAACAGTTGTAATGCAGCACATGATCCATTTGATAAACTTAGCTGGAAACCGGAGGCAGTTTAGGATCTGTTCAATATATGGCCATTCCACTGATTCATAGGCTTTCCTCATATCAATTTTCAACATACATCTAGGAGTGATACCTTTCCTTCCATACCCCTTCACCAGTTCATGGCTCAATATAATATTATCAGTGATTAACCTTCTTGGGACAAAAGCTGATTGGCTTTTATCCACAAGACCGTCCATCACACCCTGCATACGATTAGTTAGGATTTTGGAATCAGTTTATATAGCATAGTGCAACAAGCAATTGGTCTAAATTCAGATATCTTTGTTGGGTTCTTGATTTTTGAGATTAGTGTTATTGTTATACAATTTATAGCTTTGTATATATCCCCATCCTTGAAGAACTGAAGCACAGCAACTGTAACATCTCTACCAATCACAGTTCAAGCTTTCTTGAAAAAGAGTGCATTGAACCCATCACAACCAGAAGCTTTGTGGTCATCTATGCTCATAAGGGCTTGATATACTTCATCATCAGTTACCTGTGTTATCAGTTGTAGTTGTTGTTGTCTATTAAGCACATTTCCAAGCTTCATGATCTCAGGATTTATTGCTGGTAGTTGATCAGCAGCACTGCCAAGGAGCTTTTTATAGAAACTAGTAACCTCCTTTACAATGTCTTCTGGCTGTTGAAGGATATTACCATTGGGATCAATAAGGCTTTTGATACTGTTTTGAGCCTGTCTATTCTTCAAACTAGCAAAAAATAGGCAGTGTTATCATCCCCTAATTCCAACCATTTATTTCTTGATTTCTGCTTAAGAATACTTTCCTCCACTAGGTTCCATTTCTCTAACTCAACCTTCACTTCTTTTTCTTCTGTAAACAACAAATTTGGTTGAGTGTGGCTTCCCATTTGTGTTTGAATATCTTGCAACTTCTGTCTATAGAACTCAATCTTCTCCCCTACATTTCTGAATTCTTTTTGGTTCAGTTGTTTCAACTCTTTCTTCATTGCTTTTAGTTTCCACCATATGTCTTCCATGTGATTCTTTCCAGTTGGTGTCACGACCCCAAACCCGGTCGTGATGGCGCCCAACACACTGCTAGGCAAGCCCGACCAATTCAACAACCATAACCCTTTTTATACAACTCATGATTCAATTAACACAAATAATTACTAAGTCATAATACTGAAACTCTGAAATATAGTTAAAACATACGGAAAACCCAAGTAGAAATACTACTACACAGCCCGAAGAATCCGGTGTCACAAGTCTGAGCCTCTAATACATGAGTATCAACCTACTACATATCGTTCTCTAGAAATGCGGAAATAAAGCAAATAAGATAGAAGGAAGATCAGGACTGCGAACGTCAAATGCAGCTACCTTGAAACTTCCAGATATGATGTTAGGCAGAGAAGTCCTCACACAGCCTCAGGTGTACCTGGATCTGCACGCAAGGTGCAGGGAGTAATGTGAGTACTCCGACCCAGTGAGTAATAAAGGTAAATAACAACTGAGCGGTAAGAAATCACGTATGGCATATCATCATGCTATATAGAAGTAGTGTAAAATCTTTTGAGGAAAACAGTGAAGCTGTGAAATCCTTGGAAATATCTTAGCTCAGTTTAAAACTTCTTTGAAAATGACTTTTTCTACAGTATGCAAACGAATGCAATTCGAATAGTGCAGATAAGCACAGAAGTCCGCCCCTCGGGCACCACACTCAATTAACAAATAATGTCAGGCAATCCAGTAGATATCTCATGAAGTAGCACAACAACAGGTAAGGCAAGCAAATAAAATAAAGTAAACACACAGAACAGTACTAGTACCGCTGCGGCGTGCAGCCCGATCCACATACCGCTGCGGCATGCAGCCCGATCCGTTTATCGTCGACGGCGCTCACTGGGGGTGTGCAGACTCCGGGAGGGGCCCCTTACGTCCCAAGCGCAATATCAAGCCATCTCGTGGCATCAAATCTAGGCCCTCGGCCTCATATCAGTATCAGTATAACACTACTGCGGCGTGCAGCCCGATCCAAAAGTATCCTCACAATACAGGCCCTCGGCCTTACTCAGTCAACAAAATCACATAAGCCACTCGGGAAACAGTAAAGCATGATGCTCAGCCCAAAATATTTTTAAAAATATCATTTCGAGTGTTTAAGGCATAATAAACTTGGCCGAGTTTTAAAATAGTGGAAAAATACATGACTGAGTGGAAATACATAATTAAATCAGTGAGGAATTATCAACAACAATCCCCGAAGGTTTCAAATAGCTGGCACGAAGCCCAAATATGGCAATCAGCCCAAATTATGATGATAACAAGTAAATTTCAGTCAAGTACGCAGTAAATTCATCAATCGGGACGGACTAAGTCACAATCCCCAACGGTGCTCTACCCCACGCTCGCTATTCGGCGTGCAAGTCACCTCAATATAGCACTACGATGTGCAACTACGGGGTTTCAAACCCTCAAAATA